CCGCAATCACCAAATTCCTATAGGCTCTGCAATGAACTCGAGCTCCGAGCTCATCGTGGTCTCCGCGCGTGCTGCGTCTCCCGCCACGTCCTCCGGCGCCTTCCTCTTTTTTTGGAACGGAGACGATCTGCGCGTCAGGCTGGACCCATGGCACACGGCGATTCTCCGTCGTGCCAGTCCCGGACCCTTAAGCCGGGGTAGAATCCACGAAAGCCGGGGGCGATGTGCCGCGTCTGTGGGGGAGGGACGGACGAAATAATCATAAATAATCAAAATGAATCTGCGCATCTTGAAACAGGACGCACAAAACGAGAAGTGTACACTAGCTTAGATGGGCTGGTTTTTACTAACTAGTTAACATAATTATCATAATTGTTTACCATATCATAACATATCTCTAAACTGTCTGTAACCATATTCTAACCTGTTATAAATGTTGTCAGTAGTTATACGTTTTATTAACTTTCACTAATTGTTATATAACTATCTTAACTATGGTAAAAAAATTATGTTGAGTTAGTAAAATTGCCAATTTTTATGTGTTGTTCAAATTTCTTTTTTTATGATTGTATTTGTAATATTTCCCAGGCAAGAGCTGCAGAATCTTGTTTTTGAGCTGCTTGACTTTGATTTTTGAACTGTGAAAAGTTGCTTTTTGGTGCTTGAAGATTAGTCTATGTATGAAACGAACACACAGGTTGGGAGCCTGTGTTTGGGTAGAAAATGTTTTCAGCGTTGTTTGCAAGGTTTCTGGTCAGGGGTGTGTGAACATTGGAGGTTCAGACTTGGTGCTTTTTGTTTGCGGGGCCTCATGACAACCAAATCCATCAGGATGGGTAGGTTTCTGCTCAAGCTTGAATCTGCAAAGATGGCAGAGTGCAATGTCCAGATTAGCTTTAAGGACAAGAAGGTTCACATACCAGATGAGCTTGTTGCACAGGACTTGCAGGGTGCATACTTGCTTGTTTCATACATTTTGGTTGCACTATGTGCCTACTCCCCAACCCCAAATTTCCCTCACAACACAGATTTGAATGGTGTTCAATTCCTCAAGCTTCGACCTACTGCTCCAGCAATTGTGAAGTTGGTGTGTGGCAAGTGTGAGAAAAACTCCAGCCTTAGCAATGGTGATTGCTTGAAAGCTCTGAAGGAGAAAAGGAATGCTGCAGTGGAAGCAAGCGTGCTCCATGAAGGAGGACAAGGTGCAAAGAAGAAAGGCTGAGAGCATTGTTGACATCGATGTGTGTGGCAGCAAGGTGCAAGTTTTGGTGCCTCCTAAGCGAGTATCTGCTGCAGACCTGATGGTGTGCTTGGATCCACAGCAGCTTGAAGCAACCCTGGAATTCTTGCAGCCAGACTGCCATGCTTTGCTTTCCAAGAGGAAATACAGCAAAACAGGTAGGTTCAAGAGAGACCAACCTGAGGAGGAGAACTCAGACAAAGAGTCTTGAGGTGCTTGAACAAGACATGTCGACAATGGATGCTTGAGCAAAACAACTCCTTTGCTGTGGTTTTTGTGTGGAGCATGTGTTTTTCACCATTGTTGTTTTTCATCAGTGTTAGCTTTTTCAGCCATGTTGGCTATATGTTGTGATTCAGCCATGCTGGCTTTTTCAGCAATGCTAGTTTTCTTTTAAGCCATGTTGGCTTTATGTTGTTTTTTCAGCCATGTTGGCTTTATGTTGTGTTTCAGCCATTTTGGCTATGCTGTGTTTCAGCCATTTTGGCTTTGTTGGTTTTTTCAGCCATGTTGGCAATGTTGTGTTTCAGCCATGTTGGCTATGTTTGCATGAAAGGATATGCTGGCTATGTTTACAACAACAAGTTTACCTACTCTATGGTCGCTGCCATAAAAGGCTTCAAAGCCTTTTTCAGTGTGAGGCTGATGCAAGAGTGCTACCAGCTTTTCAGCCAAATGGTACAAGGTTGCAAACCCAATAGTAGCTATAGCAGAACATGAGCAACACATATATGGGGAACAGTTTCCAAAAGATCAGCCACCTCAGTTTGGGTGATAGAGCCATGGCTGTGCCTGCAGATGTCCAAGAGGAAATCAAAGAGCTCCTCGACCCAGCCAACACTACTGGTGTCCATGTGAAGCTGGAGAAGATCCTGGTTTTCTTGGAGAAGGTGGGCTTGGCATACAAAGCCATGATTTCTCCAAGGGAGATCATGTGTCACCCACAGAACATCCATGTGCAATGCACAGAATGTGCATTTGAAGGGCAACCAGGTGCTGCAAAGTGGCTTGAAGAAAGACCTGTTGCCACCCAATTCTTTGGGGATTGAGATTGCAGTTGGACCTGAAGAGAGGTCAAAGCAATTGAGAGCCAATCAGCAGATGATTGGCCAACGCAAAGGGATGCTTGCACCTCTCCAAGGTGGGGAGAGGTTCTTGAGTTTAGCTAGCTCCCACTTCAACCAGTTTTGCAGGGCCCTTGACCATGGGCGCACCAAGGCAGATGGAACACAGCTCCACATGACACCAGAGATCAAGGCATTGGTGGAATCTGGCTGGCAGTGGACAATGTTGAAAGCAGAGGCAGCTGTGATGTTTCCAGACTTGCCTGCTTTTTGCTCCATGAGCATGAATGCACACAACAGCAACACCATCTTGACCAATGAGCTGGAGGCAATGATGGAACTTGCTGCCCTACACAGAAGTGGCATGAGGATGCAAGATGCAGTTCCAGCTGTTTGCCAAAGCAGCCCTTCTTGCAAAGCATACATACTCAGGAGGGGACACCTTCCCAATGCTGCTCTGGTTGGACAGGTTCCGTGACTTGGCTTGTGGCAACAATGTTTAATGTATTTGAGTCGTTGTTTGTGGCATATCTTCAACCGAGTCTCTTTTGGTTTGCTTGGCCAAGGCAAAGCTTCTGGCCATTCCCTTTTGGTTGGTGAGGAAAACATCAACTTGCTTGCCCACTACAATTTCAGGTTGCCTGGATGCCAGCTCAACTTCCTTCGCATTGCCTTATTGGCAACAATTCTCAGCTCAAAGCGCCACCAGGATGGAATATCAAAACTTGTCTTCAAATCAGACTTTGACAAGTTGAAGGGCAAGAGCACAACCTTGGCCATGGAAGACCTTCTTTCCCAGGGCTGGGCTTCATGCCAGAAGGTGGCAAACAAAGCCCTGAATGAAATGAGTTTTGGTAAGTTTTGTGTGCGGCTTGTCCTGCATGCATTGCAGAAAGAGAAGTTTAGCAGAGATGGACTGTCCTTTGATTCATTCCAAGCTATTGTAGAAGAGCTTTCTGTTGACCTTGAAGGGGGTGAACATGTGCCAAGCTCAAGTGTTGCAGCTGTCAAAGCGACTGATGCTCACAAAGTAAAGGATTTGCTCAAAGCAAGCCCAGATGAAGTAGCTATGTTGCAGAACAGCCACATCATTGTTGGAAAGAACTACACGCACAAGGAGTACAAGGAGCAGGTATTGGATGGCATCAAGGATGGTTGTGGTGTCTTCAAGCATGTTCCATTGTTTGGTGAGACTCTTGAAGCTGTGGCCAGCATGGAAGAGCTGAAGGATTGGAAGAGCACTAAGAAAGAAATGTGCCGGCTTTGCCCCAGAGATGTTATCAAGGATCGACTTCCTGAGGCTTGCCCACTGGTTTTGGATGAGTGGGACAAAATGTGTGCCAGCTATTTGTTGGCAGAGGCTTACAAAGAGAACAACAAGGCAAATGTGGACATGGTGGCACTCACAAAGTTTCCCAATGGTTTGCTTGCTTTGAGGAAGCTCAAGGTGAAAGAGCTGCAGCTTTACCCTGTGGGAACTTTGGCAAAGGTCAAGGAACAACACAAGACAGATGACCTCTTAGCAAAGGGTGCAACCCTTGTCAAATTCAAGGGGGTAGCCTACCAGGCGCAAGGCTTCAAGGCCTACAACCCCATCAAGAGTGAAGAGGCAGGAGTTGTGTGTGCATACTTCTATGTCAAGGCCACTGAAGATGAGCAGGAAGCCAACCTTCAGGTCATTTGGAAGACCTACAAAGATCTACTCATTCCAGTCTTGGAGAACCCCAAGCCGGTTGCAGAGCAGACACCCCTGCTCAAGGGGAAAGATGTTTCTGCCACACCACCTGCCAAGAAGGCAATGAAGGCATAATCAAAAGCAGACAACTCTTCTCAAAGAGACAGATGTTTCTACAGCACTGACTGCCAAGAAAGGCAAAGAAGGCACATTGATGCCAGCTGTGAGACTTTGTGTACAAACATACCAAAGCAAGCCTGGCATGTGTGTGTGATAAAACAATTGCATCTGCAAGGTTTTGTGCAGGGTCAATAGTCCTTGGCTTTGCTTTCATATTTGTTTCAGCCTTTGTGTGGCTTGCTTTTCTCTACTATATGTTTTGTTTTCAGCCAAATGTTGGCTAGATTGTTTTGTTCAGCCTTTTTTGGCTATCAGATTTGGTTTGGTTTTGTTTGTGTGTTTCAGCCATGTTTTGGCTTTAGTTGCTTTGCCAACTTTGAAAGTTTGTTCAGCCATTTTGTGGCTTAAGAGAGTTGTTTCTTACAATGCCCTTATTCTGTCTGCTGCATGCTCAAGCACTAGCTGCACTAGCTTTTTCCATAAAGATGAAGAGGGACACTCCTTCTGCAGAGACCTCTGAAAAGAAGAGGCCAAAGAAGGAATGGGATGCTTGGGCCGACTTGGATTAGATTTTTCAATCTATGCTTTGTTGATGTCTGATTCTTTGGATTCACAGAACATGCTTCGACCAATTTCTGGTTATGTGCATGACTTCATGCATGGCCTGCTTTCAATTGGAGTCATGGGATGGGTGGGAAAGACTTGCTGATTTCCTCAAGTTGTGGGTCCAGCCAGGCTTCAGGAGCAACCAGAATGTGCACAGGTTGTTTGACAGCAAGCATGTGGCAAACCACAAGAAATCCAAGAAGATCAAGGCTTCAGCATGGGAGATCCTGGAGTTGTGTCGACCATTGGCCTACTACTTGCAAACATGCGCCCTGAAATGTGGCATTTGCACATTGGAAATTACTTGCTTCCTGAGTTGGCTTGCAGTGCTTGAATTTTGCATTGCTATTCCAGCTCTGCAGCATCCACAGCCAAGTGTTCTGCAGAACCTTGTTGAAAAGGCACTTTCAGACATGGTAAGTGCTGGATGGGGGTCTGAATTCAGACCAAAAATGCACTGGGCACTTCACTACTCAGATGCTCTAGCCATCCAAAAGATGCTGCCTAGTTGCTTCTCTCTGGAGACGAAACACAAGTCAATCAGGAAACATGCCAATAACCTTTGTAATACTGTTGCCTATGAGAAATCACTCATAGCAGCAGTGTTGTCAGAACACATTCAGCTTCTCCAATCGGACACAACACTTTTGAGGACTGACAACTTTTTTGACATTGTCAACAGGAAGAGGCCCACTACACAGGCACTGGCTATGTTGGAGGCTCATGGCCTGTGTTTGCCAAGTGAGATCTGTTGGGTGAGCAGGGAAATGAAGCTTTCCAATGGTGCAGTGGTGACTCAAAAGGATGTTGTCTTGTACCAGGCAGACAGCTCTCTGCAAGTGGGACATGTGAAGCTCTTGATCCAGATTGGTGATGACTTGGGTGCTTTGCTTGCAAAGATGGCTGTGAGAGAGAAACTTCCTGAGCTGATGGTGACAAGCAGATTGAAGCTCCTGTGGTCTACAACAGAAGTGGTTCTGGCATCTTCACACGTTTCACACCTCCACACATTTGGGCCAAAGAGCTGTGAAAAGATTTTGCGCATTGGGGGATGCAATTTACAGCAATTGAAGTGTGTTTTGTGCTTTTTGTGGGAACATATTTTTCAGCCCATTTGGCTTTGTTTGTGTATTGTGTTTGAACACACATATACCATTATGCAGCCCTACTGTCGGCTTTTGTATTCTTTGATTTTGTCTTTGCTTTAGCTGCTTTCTCTACTACAAAATCCATAAAAAGATGCCAAAAAACATTGATTAAAAATAAACAACATAACTGTCTATAACTAGTTAGTAAAAGTTAGCTATTTAACATAATTATGTTAACTAGTTAGTAAAAGCCAGCCCATCTAAGAGGTGCACTCGACCACAGGCCGAAACGCCTGAACATTTGGCTCAAGTGAAAAGAACCGCTTTCCATGAAGCATGAGTTATGAGCCCAAGCGGTTCTGAGGTGCCATGACATCCATGTTGAGCCGGCGACGATCCGCGTCCAAGGAGAGGCAACAAACAGCCGATGAAAGGCTGGATGAATTGCTGGCCCAGCAAACGCCAGCGAGACGCACCCCGCCACCTCTTCCTCCGCCACCTTCTGGCGCCTGCTGCTTCCCATCCCCTTGTGTTGCGCCACCGATCTCCGCGGTCGACTTGAACGAAGCGTCCGAGGGCGGATTGCCACCTCGGATCCCAGCAGCTGTCGAACACCATCAGCAAAACGCTGCTCGGCATCACTAGTTCAACAGTCTCCCCAGCTTCTTTGGTTCATCGACTGCTTGATCTTCTCGGCAGACCAAGGATTGATGTGAGGCGATTGCTGCCTCGACATAGCACCTGAAGCCACCAATTCACGTCCATGTTGTCCTCCACGTTCACCTTCACATTGTTCAGGAACGGGGTCCGGAACACGGCAAGGACGACGAGCGTGTTCAGGCTGAGGTCCCTCACGTTGGCGGTCTTGTTCACCCGGAGATAGTGCCGCTCTTGACGGAGCCACTTCTACCAACTGTCCTCCTTCACGTTCACGACGTCCTGGGAAGATGGGTAATTGACCTGAAGCCTCGGTCGGCATCCCCGGATGGAAGACCACCGGATAGCCCTCAGGATATGGGCCTTGCAACACCGACCACCCGCCAGGTAGTTGGTCTCGAAGCTGACCCTGCATCACATCCACGGCTACCCGGCGGTGGTTGCAACTGAAGCTGGCCACCATCCGTTCCCGCTGCTCGAGGCTCTGTCCTTGCCCCCGCTGGTGTCCCCTCGGTTGCAGTCTGCCTTGCGCTCTTCACCAGTGCCGGTCTCCTCGCACATGGTTCCGCGCTCTGAGGATCAACATGATGAAGCAGCCCCAACACCCAAGAAGAACCCAGAGCCGGAGAGGGTGGAAGCACCAGAACCGGGGGAGAACACGGGGGTGGACGAGGAGGAGCAGGACATCATGGATCCGGTCCACGACTATGACTATGAGGCGGAGCTTCAGAAATGCCAATGTGGAGTCCCGTTGAAGCGCGTGACCTGAATGGAGGTGTTGGAATCGCGCGCCAAGGCGGAGGTGATTGTCGGCTTGCAGAAGTTGATCACAATCAGCATTGGCAAGCAGGTGGAGACGTGGTGCAGTCGATGGGGGGATTGTACAAACCTCCACCGGAGGTGATGATCCTGCGGCCAATGGCCATGTTGAGTCGAAAGTCAATCAAGTCAAGCGACGGACCAGAGTCCTGCTGGCCAACATGAATGCGGTAGTCAACTCTGGCCAGCAGCGATGAGGTGCACTACCAGGTACACGGTGGAAGAGCGGAAAAGACGCCAACTTGAGGAGCTGGGAGTTCCGACATTGCCCATGCTACCCCTCTATGCCTCGGTCTATGTGAAGGCGAAGCAATGGCATAAAGAAGGAGGACTCATGGCGCCTTTTGTGAAGGGTAGGTTGATGTGCCCAAGTCCCATGATGAACGATGGGTGGGTGGTGCAGGTTGAGGACGGCAAGATCCTTCATGTTCGAGAAGCTGCGCAACCGAACGCAGAAGCCGAGGATCTACGCCGGGAGCTGGAAGATCAACAGGCACAAGTTCGCGCGCTATGTGCTCTTCAAGCCCAGGAGCGAGAATGTGGAGAAGAGGAACAGGTGCTGCAGACCATGACCGTGCCGCTTTCTGAATCAGGGTTGAATGCGGATGTGTGGAGGCCCTCGTTCCAGGAAAGGGGGCGCGGGAGCCAAGAGATCTAGGGCGGTGATCTGTGGCAACCTGGCTTTGGAGCAAGCAGATCCCCTCCCACAGGTCTCCCCGGTGGGTCCTACACATGGGGCGCTCGGGCATCGCTGTTGGAGGCCAGCCAGCATCACTTCGTTGGACGTGAAGTCAGCGTTTCTTCAAGCTCCTCGACCTCATCAACCAGTACCTGCCAGGTGGCAAGCCGGCAGCGGCGCAACCGCCGAAGGTGATGGTGGACTTGGGGGCGCTCACCGGATGAGGTTTATTCGCAAGGCATTGCATGGTTTCAGCACCAGCCAGTCGTACTGGGCGATCTACAGGGATCAGGTCCTGCCGGGGATGATCTGGGAGGAGGACAACATCGCCTACCAGCTGATCCAGACCAAGGAGCATAACTTATGGCGCATCGTGGAGAAGGAGACCTAGAAGGTTCAAGGCCTCCTTTTGGCGCACGTGGACGACCTGCTCGTCATGGGAGATTCCATTGCCCGGCGAGGACTACTCAGGTGCATCCAAACCCGGTGGAAGAGTTCGACACCAGAAACTGTGGATGACCAAAGCTGGGCGAGGTTCTGCGGGTATGAACTTAGACGTCGTGATGGTGGCCTGCTACTGGGGCAACCTTCCTACGTGGGTGAGTTGTTGCAGCGCCACAACATTGTGGAAAAGAGAACGGTCCCGCTTCCTCGAGACGCTGTTCCACCTCCCGATGCAGAAGAAGGGGCAACGGCGGAGGAGATCAAGAAGGCACAGGGCATGTGGGGGAGATCTTGTGGGTTGTGATAGGGAAGGAGGTCACCAAGCGGCCGCGTTGGGTGCTTCGAGTTGGACAACACGGGCTGGTGTACTTGAACGGCACGATGGATACCACTTCCTCCACTATGTCCCATGAAAGCCAGGCGATCGAGGAGCGGGTGGAGATCTCCTATGCCCCGCAAGAGGAGAAAAGTGTCCAAGGCATCGTGGCGGTGATTGCTGGCGCTACGGTGCAGTGGGAGACAACCAGTCAGTCATGCCTGGCCCTGTCTACTGCTGAAGCTGAACTATACTCCTACGCGGAGGCCTTGACGATGGGGGATTCGCTACAGGCGCTGTGGACGAAAGTGCATGGTGAGACGCCGGAGATCGTCACGTACGGCGACAGTCAGGCGGCCATCTCCATTGTGCGCAACACGGCCGGATGGAC